CTTTTTTTCGCTTAAGGGATACGCATAGGTAGATACGGGTAAGTAGAAAAAGAATAACCCAAGTAACCTGATGAAAAATAAAAGTTCACGGAAAGCTGAAAAGTTAACGCAAAATAATCCTCTCCTGATACAAAAAATAACTTAAAAATGTTGAACACTCACGTATAATATTTAATTTTAAAAGTTAACAGTTTCAACTATTCAGTTACTCCAATCTTCGTGTGCAACTCGCTGGCAAGTAAATGTATGCTACGAATGAAGACGGCAAGCACCCGTTTATCACGAAATGTCTAGGCCATCCGAATACGCGACTCTTCATCAGTCACGGAAGGATGCTGGGGACACAAGAAGTGGTTTACTATGGGGTGCCGATCTTAGGTATGCTTCTCTACGATCAGCACTTGAACACAGCCTACTTGATGGAAAAAGATCTGGCACTGACGAGTTAAATTACCAACGGTTTTTATACGAACATTTATGGATCAATTTAAATGAACTGCTAATGAACAAGAGATAGGTTCTTGTTTCGAAAATTAAAAATACGCAAGCATGCGCTTGGTTTGCTGTGCATTCGATGAAAATGGAGATATTTCTCGTTGAAAACTGGAATACTACGTTTTCTACGAGCTGTTTTCTAGACGGAAAAAAATTTCAGTTCGGCTAACTGAATGGAGGCCAGACAAAAAGTTTGCCAACAAGAAATTATATCTCTATTATTGCGAAAATATTCGTCTGAACATTTAGCTGCATTAAAACTTGATTATAAACTTGGTAATAAGTGAAAGTAATTGACTGATAAATCGAGTTCCTCTTACAGAAATTTTTCTGTTCTTACAATCGTGTTTTTCATCTGGTCTCCAAGTAACAGAAAACTCATTTACACTAATAGAGTTGCTTGTTTCGTGTATGTATGAGAATTTAATTAAACGCCATATTTTTTTCGCAATTTTTGTATCATTTATTTTGCATCAAATGTTTTGATAATGCTCGTATTTTAATGCACGGTTCAAATGAGATGTAATGAGAGTTTTATCTGTTATGTGATACGCGAGATTATATCGCGTGATGTTCATCAAACTACGTGTCGTCAGTCAAAGAGTTCGATTAGATTTTCAATAATTCTTCGATAGGAAATCAGTCACTTTTTATAACAGAAGTTTACGCATGAATGCTACCAGAACGTTGGCAAAGGTTCATGGATAACGACGGCTATCACATGTTCGCTGAATAATTGTTTCCATCGATTAATTACCAGTGATGCAGAAATCTAACTCAGCTTTTTAACTGCTTGAAAAAATATTTACCATTAATTGACGTTACGTGTGAATCGTTCGCATATGTTACAGTTACACGGAGATGATACAAAAAGCTTCCCTTCAATTTAAAGATCGCCCGATGTCACCATTGGATAAAGCCGTTTACTGAGTGGAACACACACGTTTCGCCACGATATGAATTTTTTAAAAATACATGCTGTAGAATTAACATGATATCAGTATATGCTGTTGGACGTTGCTTTAATCGCAACGCTCATAATGGTGCTCGCAGTATGGCTAATTTATAAACTGTTCAGTCTGTTGCATTACAAGCAGAAAAGTATTACTAAACGGGAGACGGCGTTTCTAAAAAATACACGTACTAAAGAAAAATACACGAATGAAAAGATGAAATAATTTCCAACAAATAATCAAATAATCTCTCGCAAACTACAAGAAAAGTGTGCATTTCAAGTGTATATTTCTGATTAAATATGTAATTTTATGGATAGTTCATATTGCAATGAATTAAGAAACTTATTTCACATAATTTGCATAATTTGTTTCTCTAATAAGGCTGATGTACAAGAAATAATTCATGTATTTGAAATTCGGAACTTCATTCGGCTTCATATTTCTTTCTTTGCGTGTATTGACTGGCTGACTCGAAGTGTTAAAGATTCTAATATTCGAGGAAGAAAAAGATTTGTCGATATCGCGGACACCTATCAAAAGCATCTGTTTCAACAAGTTATTGGAAGTCTACCGATAATTGTCAGACGAACGACCGTAGTGTCGGATTAATTGAATTTCTCTCCCTTTCCCTGCCTCTCTCTCTCTCTCTCTCTCTCTCTCTCTCTCTCTCGGGTTGCTCGAAATCCCGATATAGCTCAATGTGGCTTGACGTAATAAATACAGTTCAGATAGCCGACATTCTGATTGCAATATAATACCGGTGTGACGCGAGTGAAATATCCACAAACCCGATATACGGGGTGTTTCGATTGATTATACATACAAAGTTAACAATCGTAAGATGCGATCAATTAGACACCGAGGCGATTCGCGGTTATTGCAAAGGAATTACGTCCCTCAGATCCTACTTTCGACTCGATGCGTTCGACAGAAGAATCTCGATGCCACAGGGAATATTTTGTGCTGTTAGAGCAATTCGTCCGCTCGAACCATCGGCTGCTGTTGAATTTTTCTGAGCGACGCACGCGTCCGTGATGTACCTGTCATTTTTAGTTTTTATCCTAGATACATAACCGCCCCGAGTGAAACGATGGTGCAACTGACAAAAACATCAGAACACGATTTATTCATTCTTTTGCATACGGTATTATTACGTTAAACGAACCGTGCTATTTTTTTGTATTTGTTCATTTAACCATGTGATTCCTTGACGTAGCTTTTTCCAGGCGGATCCCTTAGTGCAACAATTGAATTAGCTCTGTATGATAAAACTCATTTTCACAGAACCGCGTTCTCAATAAGAGTCGCGAACTTGCAGGGTAAACGTGGTCTCGCGGCCTCTTCGCGGGAGATGACCGATGCAATTGAGATAAATTGTGACGTTATTTTAACATTTACAACGAGCACTCGTTTTATCTCTGGTATGAATTATTCTCTGAAACACACGGAGCGCAGCCCGAGCATAACCGGGTGTGTACACTCGCATATACTCGGTTTCCACAACACAATGCCGGGCGCGCCGTTACATTAATTGCAAGAGTCGTCTTATACTACGGAAAGAAGCTTTTGCATATTCCAGCCTTATATCACTCACGCGCTTTATTATAAATGTGCAGGCGGCACAGAGAGCCAAAACAGGAAACCGGAAAAGCCAAGCGAGCGCGCTTGGCTCTCTCGTAGGGAGAATAAAAGCGCAGTATAAATTGGGGTAAAGCCGTTGGCTCCTTTGTGCCTTGTGAATGCAATTCAATAAAGTGTTTAGAGCGAAAGCGGCACAAAAGAAGTCTAGCGATAAATGACAATTTGCTGAAGTTGGCAATTACGGGGAAGTATGCTGCCGTTGAAAGGTGGGCTTAATGGAAAGTTGTTAGGAAGTGGGCAACAATAGAGATAGACTGATAGACGTCAGAGCGCGAGTTCTTCTATGACTTTTCATGGGGAGAGCAAGAGAGAGCTGAGTGAGAGGGTGAGAGGGTGAGAAAGTGGGAGGGAGGAAGGAAGAGAGGGAGAAAGGTCAGTCGAGTGCTCGATCAAGAGTCTCCTACAATTTTATGCTAAAATAACAAATCTCTCGCGAATCTAATTTATTATGGCTCTTATCACTATTCGACCCTTGCCCGACTAGCTCTGATTTATCGTTTTTGCGGGCTCACACTGCGTTTATCTGATAAGCAAGATTTATAAGACTAAGGTTTTCCCACTAATGCTAAAATACTAACCGTAATTCTCGAAATATTATTGCTCATAATGCGTGCAACATCGATTTTATTTTCAATTTGAGTGGTGAGACTCACAAGTCCCCCTTCTTCGTTCGTGGTCAGCTTCAACGTCGATAATGTTTTAATAATTTTAATGTCTGATTCAAAACTGATTGCGACGGTATGAAAACTCGCCGAAAGGATATCCGACACATCGATCGTGTGCGTTTTGACAATGCGTACACGCACTCCGCCTGTTTGCAGTTCTTTAACAATAAGCATCAGCGATTGCAACATTGTACAATAACAACAACGTATTCCGCTCGTTGAATTAGCCTTGGCCAACTTTTCGAGCAAAATCGTTTTCATATTGTTCCTAAAACGTCCTCTATTTGTGAATATTCTCCCATAAAACTGATAGCTGCGAAAGTTCTCGCTTTGCAATAATGGGCCTAATGAACTGCCGTCGTCTATTCGTTTGCGACGTATCCACCCTGAGTTTTCATTATCGTAAGCTGACAATAATATCGAATAAGTGTCGATATAATATCGTGGCGTTAGATAACGGCGTATCCGTTTGCCGGAAGCTTTCCTTCCCCGTGCTCGTTACTGCCGTTCTGTTTTCTTTTTTCTTTTCTATCGCCTCGTCACGGACAGAAATGGGGCGGAAGGGAAGAAGAAGATGAAGGGACGCTTCGCGCGTCTAATGAGCCTCTCGTTGCTATCAGACGAGTGTGGATGAGTGTCCCCGTTCAGTCTCACCTCGTCGTCGTCGTCGTCGTCGTCGCGAGCAGCGACATTCTCGAGTGCACACACTCTTGCAGCCAAGAGAATACGATGACCGTACAATCTTTTTCTTTTTCCTCTCTCTTTCTCTTTCTTTCTTGCGAGAGAAGAGACGCTGTCGATGTTTCTCGACTAGTTAAAGAGTGTTGCCCGGATAAAATCGCTACTTTGACTTGTACAGGCTGATTTCGCGTAGCACCGATGCTGCGTCCCTTGCTAATCTCGCGCGATAAATAAATGGGGACACCGATGTTTTAAATTATATATAAAATAGTGATATTCATTTCTCTTAAATCCTTCCGCGCCGATCGATACAAAGGCGGTTCCTCTGTGTATGTGTGCTTGTCAATGTCAGGAATTCCTTCTGTGTGTGCACCATATTGAATTTATGTTTCAAACTGCGTGCGCGCATACATGCGCTACGTATGTGACAGCTTTCTGTCTATATCGCTTGAAGTTTCGCTCGCTTCTACTTGAATAGGCAACGATCGAGTGGATCCGTGAAAGGCAAATACACGAAATATAGGTTACATATCGCTTCGTTGCGCTTTTATGCTTTTCGAACATGAGGTCGCAAATATCGAGCGCTTTTTTAAGATACGGGCGTCTGCCCATACGGGAGGTAAATTGTTATCGACGTCTCTCTCAGTCGCGCGCCCGTCGAGTTCTTCGTCAAATCTTTCTCTTTTTTCAGGATGATTGCTCGTACGTTTGGCAAGTTTCCGCCGCGGACCGTTGTGAGTGGGTGAGTAATACCGAAGACTGCTTCACAGACTCCGTGATTCAGTACACAGTGCTGCTGTTTTGCTATTTTAAATCCGAGTACACGCTACTGTTCGTCTGCGGCTTGGTCCTCATACTTCTGTGGCTATTCTACTTATTCCTGATTTTGGGAACCACGGCGGACAATTTGTAAGTTAAATTCTACGCCAGGCATTCGCAATCCCAACTAGGAATATATGATGGTTATTTCCAGCGTTCGTGTGAGTGAAAACAACAATTATTTGTGATCTTTATGTATATAAATTTCGATAAAAGATATTCCGTGAATCAAAGATTACTTTGGCTCAGTGCACTCACATGAAAAATAATCACGGATTTGGCCATATACATATATGAATAGACAATTGTAAAATATCTACTTATATATCTATAAGTGACAGAATGCAAAGACTGCATACCGCGATCATTCGTCAAATGATGATCGATCACGAGCGTGACTTACAAGAATTCGATATAAGCGCGAGTAACAATGAAATTGAAGCTTTTCTTGGTACCGAAACTGCAGACTTTAGCCAAGTTCGATCCCGAGGAGAAAACATGTTACCGTCTACAGAATATAAATGATTACATGAGCACAACGAATTTTTACTTCTGGCAACTAACCAAGCCAATAATCGAAAGATTCATGCTCTCCACTATTTCAACCGTCTGCGTTTTACGGAGGCAGTTTCTTTCGAAATGATAAACGAAAGTTCGCTCGTTCTTTCGAGCTGTACAAATATCAGAGAAAATGGCGAATTGCCACGCAGGAGTGCATCCAATAACGGGATCCCGAAATGTCGGAAATCTTCTGGTCGCACTTTTATCGGTACATAGGTGCCGATGTATTGATGAGAAAATATTTCTACTTGTCGAATAAATCGCACAAAATAGCGTGCAAAAATCGAAATCGCATAATGCGCCTGTCGCGTAATGCGGGATGTAGGTTGCGAATTTATAACTTGCTTGATTTAATCGAGGTTTCATTTCCGCGTGAATGCTTGTATTCGATATCTCGTTGGCTCCCGCGCACTGGCTGGTTAATCATCTAAATCCTTGGTACTTCGAAAGACCGCGAAGAAGTTTCGTAACATTTATTTCACCGCGTTTATAATAGTGGAAACGCGACCGCGCTTATATTGCGGAGTTCGTCGGAGTTTAGCTTTGATCTGTGGCCGGTATAATGGCTGAAACTCGGTTAAGAGAGAAAACTTACTTTCCTGCGAATAACACACTCTCAACGTACAATGAAACAGCGAATGTTGGATGTACGTGAGCGACGTTAGCTTAGCAATGCGTGTCTCAAACGAACATTACCCGAATATTTCCTTCCACTTCCAACTCTGCACTTGTTTGCGTGTTTCTCACATTTTAAACACTATTAACGAAACCTTTATACAACCTCGACTAGCCTGTAAATTGACGTCTCCTTTAATCTTAACATTTCCCTTCAACGCGTCTTTACAGCGCGAAAATTAATTACAGTGTAATTACCAAAGTACACGGCAGGTACAGGTGAACATTAAAAATTAATCATTGCGACATTTTCGTTTCAGTTTTTGCCCATCACTGGCGGTAATAGCCAATATAATGCATCTATCGGACAGCATAGCGGGAGTGACGATATTGGCATTCGGAAACGGTGCGCCTGACATCTTCACGTCCCTCGTGTCGAGGGGCAACGGAGCGATAATAATGTTCACTGAATTAATCGGCGCGGGCGTCTTCGTGACCTCGGTGATCGCAGGTTCTGTGGCGATAATTAAGCCTTTTAAAGTTTCGTATAAATCTCTCATGAGGGACGCTTGTTTTTATATTACCGCCGTGTGCTGGATAAGCTTCGTGGTGCAAGACGATACGGTTCACCTCTGGGAAGCCGTAAGTACGTCCGCTATCTTTATTCAAATTCGATAGAACGATATCGCGATTGACTCTCTTCTATCCTCGACTACCATTCTGTATTTTCCTTTTTGACACAAATCTCTCATTCTGCACGATCAAAAATTGATGCAATCTATTTCCTTTTTTTCTTTCTTGTATTTTACTAGCTTGCAAGTAACGTAAGATTAAAACAAGTAGTTATTATGTACAGATCTCTTATTCAGAGAAAAAGTGCCGTGACATCTTTTTCTCCTCACACATTATATTCCAAATATTATCGACTCTGCCAATTCCTCATGTAATTCATCATGTCTGATTCACGTAATAGCGATCGATACATGTTCTCGGAAATGTACGGCAATATATTCCTTAACGCTCTCTCATTATATTACGTGAAAAAGTGTAGAAAACGCGATTATTTCTAAAAATTACTGAAAAGTATTTCTTATGCATTTCTTCCTTCGTTATATACCAAGTATTAAATAAATATTATTATCCGTACTTCGGATGCTAATGTCGATTCTTTATGCCTGAATGGTCAAGTAGAGTAAACGTAAAATGATCGCGACTTCGCTCATTTCTTTCTTTTGGTCTGCGCGCCCGAATAAATCACGGACGGTTTGAACCACTGACAATTTCCATGGGTTCTAATCGATTAATCTTCGTAAACTGTCGACAAACGGGCAAACAGATATATTTACATTTTTTACACAACACGGTAAAATGTTTTTAACCTGTTATTTCGATTAAGAACTCAAATAAGCAATTAGATGCCGAGATAAAACGGTTAAGTTCCGATATTGGTTTTCTACACCAGAATAATTACGATGGTATTTGATAAAACTTATCGGTACCTCATACGCCAGATCAGTGGGGCGACACACAGCGAGCGAGAAAGTTTATCCGCGGGAAACCACATAAGTGGTTTCATTCCGGAATAACGATAATTCTTCGACGAATTTAATTAAGCTACGCCGCAATCTCCTCCTCCCCCTCCCTCACACCCACCTGCTAGCTGGTTGGCTCGCAATCTGACTGTCGATGAATTTTTGCGGGGTTTCGAAAGAGCGAGCGAGAGAGAGAGAGGAAGAAAAAGAGAGAGGCAGAGAGGGGAGAGAGAGGGAGCGACAAGAAACGTTTCGCAGGAAACGCGGGGATTATTGTTGCACTGCATAAAGCCCATGGAAATCATTTTACGCTCACACAAAGAGAGACTGTTATTAAGCCACGAGCTATAAAACTGTTAAATATCTTGATTCATTCCCCTTATATCGCGCTACACGATGGCAGACAGACAAACGGACGAAAACTCGATTTCATTCGGACAGACGGTCAAATTCTCCCGAGCAATGTCGATTAATACGGGCTATGCGTATATAAATAAGCGCGCGTTCCTTTCAAAAGTAACAAAACAAAGAAGCAAGCGACTCGTACTAAAATTCAGCATGCGCATCCACTTATTGTTTTCTTCATTAAGAAATCTCAGAATGAATTCCGCCACTGGCTGGAATTGCTCCCTTCTTGTTCGTATATTAAAAGGAAAAGGAGTAATTAAAATCTTTCCTTTTAATGAAAAGAAGAAGATACATGAGATGTCGTTGTCTGAGAGTTTCTCCTTTCCTTTTTTCCCCTTTTTTACGCGTAATATCATACGTGCAAGGTTATTCGTTACTGCGTGTAGGGGAATAACCTTGTGGGCCGACCGACACTAATGCTCCCTAATGCTGATACATTTTAATTGCAGGCTTTATTCTGGTCTACGCGCTGTTCATCGTGGTGGTCGTGATAATGCAGATGTACGACGCGAGGGAAGAGAGTCTGAAAAGTACGTTTCGCGCGAGATCTTTTGATTTACCGAGAAAGATCGCGCGAGTCCCTTCGTTACTCTATTTAAGAATCTTGCACGGCGAACGAGAACTTCGGCAATTCGTAACTTTTCTAAACACGTTCTCTCTAATGATATTTCTCCGACTCGTCACCGCAGGGATCCGACTCGCGTGAGCACAAGATACATCCTTAAAATATCTCTGAGCGATTCAGAACGCGTTCACAGCAAGAACTATTGCTACCTCACGGAGGAATCCCTTCCTAACCTTTTGAGTTCGCTGTAGATGTGCGGAAAGGATGGCTAACCCGTTTCTTATAGTCCAGAGAAAATTTTCACCCGCGCTAAGATCGATCCCTTTACACGCGAACATTCTTATGTACTTTCAGCCAGGATCCCAAGTGTACCCGATCCAGACGTTCTGCATACTTACTTGGCGAACAGGGACACAGACGCTATACCCAAGATTCCCACTAGAAGCCGACCTTTTGGCTTACATGCCAAGCTAGGTACGGGCATCGTTTTTACGACTCATCGCCCATATCCACGTCTTCGGTTCCCTTGAATTTTTCAATAGTTCCAACTTTCTCGAAATCGCACCGTTCATCTCTTGCACATCAAATACTTTCACACGATGCATCAATCCGATCACGTATTATCCCAAATCACTATTTACCTTTGCGTCGTAATGTGTAATTTGTTGCGTTAGCTACTCGCTTTGTCGTCTATCTTAAAATATACCCACAGGTAGAAAATCACAATAATATCAAAATAACTAGAAAATGATCGAATCGTGATAGAAAAGTGATTCTTTATGGTCGTTTTATAACAATTTTCTTGTCATCTCAACGTCATCGTGATTTTCTGTTCTACCTAAGCAAACTCGATTGATTCTTATTTTGAGCTTCTCGAAGTGTTATTTGATTTTAATATTGTTGTATGCATGTATAATACAGATGTTGCCATCGCGGCGGAAAGAAAAAGAGCAATAATACGGGGCGAATCTGTTCAGTTGAGCCCCGAAATTAACGATTATGTTCCCGATAGGCCACGGGGTCTCTACAGGGAATTTTTGTACGATGTCAATCCGATTAGCAGGGAAGATTGGGAGAAGTCGAGTGGATTGGTTAAGACTGTCTTAATTATACGTTCGCCCGCCATGTTTCTACTTCAGCTGTTTATACCGGTGGTGAACCCTACCGCCGTAAAGAAGGGTTGGTCAAAGCTACTGAACTGCTTTCAGTTGTGCGTGACGCCTACGATAGCGTTGTTTCTACTAAATGGTAAAATATACCCCCCATTCATCTACGTTGAAGATTACGTTACATTGCTTCCTACAGAATTCCACCCACGGAGGAAATATTGCAATAAAAATTACATTAAAATTATGCCCCTCTTTATGGTCACACTCCTTATACAGTTTGACTATATCAAAATTGTACTATGAATTACTACAAAAATAATAAATTTGACAATCTATCGAATATATAATATAAAGGAATATTAAAGTAATTACAACAATTTACAGTAAAAAGTCAAATATTTTAAAACAAATTTATGGTAATTTTGTTCTACAATTTTGTGCATAGTGCACGAGAGAAAGATCACAAAATAATTTTTATCACAATATTTTCTCCGTGTATAAACTCTAAAAATTAACTTATTGCTCTAAAATTAACTTAAATATGTGCTAACGTATATTTTTAATAACTCTCTGTTTCTATAAAGAAAGAAAATATATTACCCGACTATAAACAGAACTTATTTGTTATATTATGTATATTGTTCGAGCAAATTATAAAAATCTTCAATTATACATGGAAACATGTTCGGAAAATATGTTAAGAATGCTGCTTATTTTTCTTACTTCTCGTTTCTTATTTTTGTTTTTTAGGCATAATTTAATTCTTTGCAATACGTTATAGAAGTAGAATGTATGCGTTTAAAAAAAATTCATAATTATTATATCGGCATTAGTCGCACCGATAAAGTATTCGCCTCTTACCATCCAGCTTCATTTCTTTTAATTGTTCCGTTGCAGTTTGGCATACGACTTTTGGCAGCGTATCAATAGTGCCGATATTCCTCGGTGTCGGCACAGTGATTGCTATAATTGTATTTACAACAACCCACGTTGATCGCGTGCCGAAGTTTCATAATGTGAGTAGCTCCCTTTCCTTTTAGTGAATAATAAGAGCTTCATATGTGTTCGCGATATCGTTATATTTGAAAAGAAAAAAAAGAAAAGAAATGCATTCCGTGCGAATTCCTTTTATCATTGATATAAAAGCACGCGGCATCACCGATTGCAGGTATTCGCATTCTTGGGATTTTTAGCTGCCATGCTGACGGTTTATTTGGTGGCTGGAGAGGTCATGGCGGTACTCCAATGCATAGGATACGCATGCAGTATATCCGACGCAATGCTGGGCATCACTTTTCTTGCGTTGGGAAACAGTATAGGGGGTGAGTCGTGTGAGAAATGCTTCTCGAGTGATACTTGAGGGTGGTACGTGCGATAACGAAAAACACAGTCGACGAGATAAAACCGTTTCGGATTGAATCTCCAAACGCAGCGGGAAGTAAACGACGTCAAGCAGCACGAATCGCGACACTGCGATATGTTTTTGACGATTGTTGAGTAATAACAGTTGCGAACACATTGCGAACCGTACACGTAGTTGCAATATCGTACACGAAATTGAAACAATTGAGACAATCAATGGGTACACTAGTAGCGTTTTTAGTATAATATTAATTAAAATATTTTCCCTTTTGAAAAGACTCTAAACAGAATTTACAGGTACGTTTCACCCTCTTAAGGACGCGAATCTACGTTTCCAATTTTCAAAACTTAAAACATTAAAAATGCCGATTTACGTCTCTAGTTCGCAATGTGTTAATCAATAATAAATAATAATATAATAATAATGATAACTGTTTCGCTTAAATCAGTGTAGCCAGTATCAGTTTGTTAAAGATTTCCGCGCTTATGTTAAAATACACGCGCAAGGTAATTGGAAACTCTGTCTAGATCTCATATCGAATATCACCATCGCCAGACAGGGATTTCCGCGCATGGGATATGCAGCTTGCTTTGGCGGACCGATGTTTAATACTCTACTGGGACTAGGGCTGACTTATGGTATCGCCGCCGCTACCGATCCTGAACAACAAACGAAGATCAGGATCAGCGATATGGCACCCGGCTGCATAGCTTTTCTCCTTTGCTCCTTGATAGCTACCGTAATTTACTTCAACATTACAGGAGCTGTGGCGCGTCGCAGCTACGGTTATCTTTTATATTCATTCTATTTGGCCTTTCTCCTCGTACAATTCCTAAGCGAATTTCACGTCATACATCCTCTCGGTACTGATCACCGACCCGACATTGACTAATGCTGCATATTACCGTACGGAATTAGGTGCTGTTCTTCTTTTATATGACGTTTATATCGTTATATGTATGCACATAAAAAAATTCAGGAAATGATAAAAAGATTTATTTACAATTAGTTTTCTACTCCTTGTAGTGTAGATTTATACCGTATAGAATAAAGTAGATGTGGAAAGAAAGATATAGAAATAAAGAGAGAGAGAGAGAGAGAGAGAGAGAGAGAGAGAGAATAAAAAGATACGCAGCATCCCTCTTTTATGAATTACGTCATTAAATGAATCAAAATCGCGCGGATATAAATGGAGATGCATTTTTCACGCAGTACGGAAGTTGAGCTCCGTAGGAAAATGTTTGGGCACCGGATATATATATGGAGGAAAAGGAGAGCGACGTCGGGTCGTTTTTAGACATTTCCCCCGGGAAAACGAGGTGTCCCGTTTCCGACCGAAACCGGTTAGTATGGCCACCATAACGCCGAAACGGAAACCACAAGTCATGAGGCGGTTAGCAGTCTTGGTACGTTGCGCGTCACTTTTAAATTTTACATGACCCCGTACATCATGGTAACCTCGAGTGCTACACGGACTCGGATACCCGCGTAATTGAATCCGTTATAAGGTGAGGGACACATTCCCTACGTGCAAACGTTCCCCGCATAACGTTCCTCCTTTTCGTTCGAACGTAATAAAAATTGGCATGAATTTTATTGTACGCTCCCATATTTGTCCTCTTTCATTTGTGAGTGTTCTCTGGGTCGATTGGAGACTTTATTTCTACCGCATATTACCCTTTTGACGGCAAATTCTTCAGTCACTATAAGGTCGGTTGTTCCTCGACAAGTTTTTGTAAGTTTTTTTCTTTTTCTTCTAGAGTAATTAGCGGTTCAAGATAACAAAGCTTTTAACTGACTAAGCTTCTTGGAGGAGAAAAGAGTGTAAGTGATAAAATCGTGTTCCTTCTTGGCTCTAAGCGTAATTACCAAAACTATCGTACCGACTTTTAAAATTGCGAAAAAATCTGCAGGTTCGCGGAAACGCGATTGGAGCAAAAATTATTTCAGTCTTCCATAAGGAACAGAGCGCTATTTATTGTACACATGCGCGCAGTTATGAATAAAAAATGTTCAGTAAAAAATGTGAACAATTCGAGAACAGCGCGCGCGTAGCATCCAGGTCGTTTTTCCTTCCCCACTTTTCGACAGAAGGACGTACTCTTGTCCTCTCCGCTACAGATATTGTCGGAGAATTGTTCTTGGTGGTCCCTTTCAACGCGTGCACCAAGGTAGGTTCTCATTGTCTTCGGGCGAAAGTTTAATTCCGAACCATCTCTACTTTCCGTTTTCCTTTTTGTCCTATCAGAGTGTCGATAGGACAATGGACGAGAATGGTATGTCGCGAAAGCTAAAGTTTTGGCACTGCAGAATCTGGATCTTCTTTGCCGTGATATCTCTGCGCACGTGCGCTTTTCTATATAGACTGCTCGGAGACAAGGTCTCGGGAGAATCTATTGGCGAAGTAAATTCCTTCACATGTATTAGTCAAACGCAATGGCCTTGCCCAATGGATAACAATGGTCCTGAATTTTCTACAATTGTACCAGTAATATCATTTATTCTTAGACTCCCCGACAACAATTCCTCGACACAATCTTCGGCGCTCGCGCTTCCCCGCGTTACATTACTCATCAGAGGTTATCGTGATTTCCTAGCTACGAATTTTGATATCAGTTCAACGTGTTCGACATGTTGTACAGAGTTCACGTATCCGATGAGGTAATTCAACACCCTCAATTAATTTGTCGTACAGAATGTATAGACGCGACACCTGTTGTGTCGCGACACACCTAAAGCGCGCGCTCAATTAATGTCGATTTCAATATAAAATGTACATCCCATTTAACACTGGCGACCAGAAACGCGTGTCGTCGACCGCGACGTAGCTTCGAAATCGCCCGTAGAAATCGCGGCGGAAGACCCTATTGAATATTTATATCGATTGAGTGATTCGCGTACGCCAAAATCGACTAACTGTCGCCTCCGAGAGAGATTCGCATTACGAATCACAATATCTCGTGTACACGGAGATAAAAGCGCGACGTTCGATAGTGACAATAACACACGTCCGCCCGTAGCTCACGCTCTTTTGTGCGCCTAACCGTTCAGAGGTCAGAGGCGAAATATTCAGAAGCCAACGGCACGGAGACCGAATACTGGCACACGGGCGTTTCGCCCACAAATTTGTCGAATTTCTTGCGCGCCTCGCAAATAATTACCTAACCGCGTTCTGCTCGACTATTTTATTTTCGAACCGCGCTTCAACCCTCGCGGCCTCGATATCGCGCAGCTATATTGAAAGCTGGATCTCGTAACAAGCGCGGCGCGTTTAACGAAAAGCTCTGACGAACTCGCGCTGACGAATATTGAATAAGTTCGCGCGAGGTAAAGAAAACTTTATCGAGCCATATATTAGGGTCGAACCCTCGTCTAGACGAAAGACTGGATCGGTGCCCAGCATCCGTAGATAAGATTCCCGTCTAGTCTCTTCCGTGCCAACGCGAGCTAACGACCCTCTCATCCGGATCGCTCGCTCAGGGGTAGCGAACGCAGAAAATATTCAACGTTACTAACGTCGGGGAGAGTGCATCGCAAGAAACGCGCATTATCATCCTTTTTACAGCGCCGTGGATGCGATATCCGGAGTGCTGTGAAAATGTTCGTGAAATCGGGCCGAAATTGTTACGGAAAATTGTATCTAAATACACGCCCAGAACAGTCCCTCACGTTGCGCGCGTACGTTGCGACGAATCGGATTGCAGAATTTAAGTGTTTCTCTCCCGCGCGCGTGTGATGAAATTTCTGATGGCATTTCCTCTTGACGTGTCAATTTTCTCCAAAATACACGTACTGTCGATTCGTACGTGTATCGGGACATTGTGTCGACAAGCGCCGCAGTAGTGGTGACTCTAATGTAGTTTAACGTCGAACGTTTGGCTGGAGTGAGCGCTTCGCCGACGTATTAATTATCTACTTTCGCGTAACATTTATGGTATTATATTACTCTTCAGCACGATGCTTGCAGCGCGTCCGTAATTACGAGCGAATATGGAATTACTGACCAACATAGATAGTTAATTAATTGAAGTTAAATATGCTCCGTTGCGCAATAGCGCGCGCGGGTTTCCTTTTTTCAAGAATATTCCAGTTTGTCGGCGTCCAAAACCGAATACAAAACGGTTACTTAACGCGTTTAACGGCGATCGTGAATCTCTCTCGTACACATAACTCGCATGCAAACGAAATGTCGATATAATTTCGGCTTACAGTCAATTGTCGATTTATCCGCGCGTCTTTCCAAATGTTTCGGGAACTCGATAGAGGCGGATGATCAGATATAATGCACGGCATTACTCTTATTTCTTACGATGGGGCATATCGGGCTTCGTGGAACCTCCAATCGATGCTCGATATTGAGACTAAATAAAGTGCTCGCGGTACCGTTATTACTTCCGGCAAACTTCTGTCATTAATTCGACTGAAAGACTTTAAAGGAAAACGTCGCTGTAATATCTGTCTCGTGTGTTTGCCGTCGTTCAAGTTTTTATTCTGGCCACAAAATAACTTTTCGAGCGACGTGTTATGATTGTAGCTCCACTTTCAGCACTTTTATGCTGCTGGGGAGAGTTTCGTGTACACACAAAAGTTTCATTTTTAAAATAGATACTTCAAAGAACGTGCACACTCTGAAGAAAAAAATATTTGAAATTTGTAACTATAATCGCGTAGGAAAATCATATAAATTGTGGTCAAGCCAATCATTTTTTTATTGAATTCTACTGCATGTGTTAATGTAAAATAACCTTATATGCGTATCACTACTATTATTTTCGTGTTTAAACAACAAGAAAATATGACTGGGACTAAAAGTAATTATAATGCTTTGCGCTTGCACTTGCACTACCGTGTCGCTCGATTTCAAATCAACCGTTTATTACATTGAAATTATATCATATCGTTACGTTATAACATTGAAATTACGTCAATGGTATTGTGAAACAAAAAACCAGCCAATTAAATAAATATAAATGGCAAAGATAATAATTAACATGCAGATATAATAAAAAAGTATGAGGCCAATATTGAAACTTTGTAAAACAATTACTCTGTAAAAGAATTACTGTGCGATCTACTTATTTGACTAAACGTATAAAGAATTCGTGACCAAAAAGATACGATAACGCTACACGCGGCGTATTCAATTTTTGCATATTATGCAATATGAATTTTACGATTTTATTGGCTTCACAAAAATTATTACGTTATTCAACACGCTGGTACGTATGTTTGCGCAAAGCTAGAAATAACGGTAATAATGGCAATGTCGCATATGTTCCGCTCGATTTAACTTTCGCGTTAATCGTACAGCGAACGATAACCTTTTACAGCATCGGCCGAACATTTGTTACGTGCATATTTTAGCGATCTGTGCAAATGCGCGCGTTTCGATCTCGAAATTAAATAAAACATACACCGCGCACACGTGTGCCTCTCGCGGGCACGGATTTATTTTCGCGCTTAACGCGACATCATAAAAAGGGACGCGCGCGTTTCTCAAAGAGTTTCCGTTTCTGGTGCTCCCTCGCACGCGTGGCAAGATTTAAAAATTGATATGTCAATATGATAGATACACATACATCATGACGATCTCCTCGCCTCTCATTTGCCTCCGCCATCGAGCGGTCTCAGCCTTCACCTGGCGGGATCGCGAGGTTTGATATTCTACCAGGAAATATATTGTGGCCAGATAGAATATATTACACGTGTGAGGTATTATGGCCGTATTACTTGCGCCGGCAAAATAGGAAACGCAGCGGCGGAGATAAACTGCGCGCTTATATGTAATTCGAAATGGATAGACCGATATACCGCCACACCAGGATTTTCGGTTTACATCGGTACACGCCGATGATTTATGAGACGACGCCACATTACTTATACGCCACAAAC